ACTTCATACTCTTGAAATCATTACTTATATTCTTCCTAATGAATACTTCTTATCTAAGTTTTCTTTAGGAATTTTGCATATATTTTCATCAGTGAGATCAGCCTGTAAATCTCTTGCTTGTGCTATCGTTTAATTTTTGAAACAGAATCGTCCTATCACTGTAAAATAAACTTGCAAGTTTTCTATAGTAGCCATTACCCAAAATGACCAGCAGTGATCCCCATTTTCTCATATTTATGACCTGTGCAGTTCCCTCCTACATTGTACTGTAGTAAGGTGTCAGCGAGATAACCAGAGATGCACAGCTGAATTGTAAAGGAGCACTTTATTACACCAGTGGGCTGGGGGGCTCTCCCCAAATCCTCAGCAACCTGCCTTCTTTGTTGCTCGCTTTTAAAGGCACAAACTACAGAAAAAAACCTACATTCTCTTGGCGCCACTTTTGGCACCATTAAGGGGGGCTGATACAGAGAAGGGGGAGAGAGGAGCTTGTTAGAGGTCGGAGCAACTATTAATCTCTTTTTTCTCAGGGTTTCTCTAAGTTTCCCAAGGCCATTATTAACCCCCTATCTTTATCGTTTTCTGTGGGTTTCTCAAGGCCCTTATGTTTACAAGAAAGAGTTTGCCAGGAGTATGCGCAGTAACTGAGGGTCAGAATGGAGTTACTACAGTACTAGGGTCAGTATTTCACTGGATAAACCAACAGAATAGGGAGGAAGTAATATTACTTCCAAGATTAGCTCAAGAAGAGACTCCAGGTTCTACAGTGGACTCTGTCTCTCTCTGATCATTCACTGAGAATCCAGTTACCAGGTCATAAGAGAAACAGGTAGCTAAAGCTCCGATTTCAACAGCTGAAAGAAACTGAGATCTGTCAACCATCACATGAGAAAGTTGGATGACTGTAGCACCAGCCAAAAGCTTGACTGTAATCTCCAGAGAGATCCTGAACCATACCTACCAGGCTAAAGTCACTTTGAGATTCTTGACTTTTAGAAATTATGTAAGGTGAGAAATATGTATTGTTTTAAACTGCCAAGTTTTGGGGTAATTTGTAATGCAGCAATAGAAAATGAGTCAAGTTTTCTACATGATGAATAGTTAAAAATAACTTTATGAAACATGCTCACCAAGGTCAGGAGAACAATTCAGGAGCAACATGGTAATTTCAATAAACAGAAAATATAAGAAAATACCAAACAAAAATGATGGAGTTGACCCAGTTGGGGTCGTGTGAATGGCAACCAGTCGATGTGTCCCTCTCACATCGATGTGTTCTGCCCAACCCCCTCCCCCCAATCTGAAGATAAACGCAAAAATGTCCTCGGGTGAGGATTGAACTCAATGATAGGGCAGTAGTAGTCATCCAATCAGAGCAGCAAAAAGAACAAAATGTAAACAAAAGAATATAACTTAAGGAACTTGTGGGACAATATAAAAAAGGCCCAATATTTGCATTATAGGGATCACTGAGTGAAAGGGGCAGGAAACTTCCCTAACATGGGGAAGAACAGGAATCCACATCCAGGAAGCCCAGAGAGTTCCAAAATGTACTCAAAGAACCCACAATGAGATACAGTATAAATAGTCAAAGTTAAAGAACAGAATCTTAAAAAAAAAAAAAAAAAAGAAAGAAAAAACAAACAGTATGTTAGTTCAAGGGAACCCCTATAATATCAACAGATTTTTCAACAGAAATATTGTAGACTAGAAAGGAGGAGCAAGATATATTAAAGCACTTTTTTTTTTTTTTTTATCCTCACCCGAGGATATTTTTCCATTTTTTGTACAGATGGAATGGGAGGGAGAGAGAGTGAGAAACATCGACATGAAGGGACACATCGAGTGGCTGCCACCCGCACGACCAACCAGGGCCGGGGACAAACTGCAACCGAAGTACGTGCCCTTAGCGGGAACCGAACCCGGGTCTCTCCAGACCGCAGGCCGACGCTCTAACCGCTGAGCCAAACTGGCCAGTGCTTAAAGCACTTTTAAAAGCAAACGTCCAACTTAGAATACTCAATGTACAAAGTTATCCTTGAGAACTAAATAAGAAATAAAGATTTTTCTATAAAAGTAAAAACTAGAGAAGTTCATGAGCAATAGACCAGCCTTACAAAAAATGTTAAAAGGACTTCCTTAGCTTAAACAAAAGGGCACTAATTTGTAACCGGAAAACATAAAAGTATAAATATCACTGGTAAAAGTAAATATAAAAGTTCAGAAAAATCTAATGTTGTAAATGTTATTAATCACTTACAAAGCTAGTATTAAAGCAAAAATAGTAAAAACTACAATAATTTGTTGTGGAAAACAAGATAAAAAGATGTAAATGTTGACATAAACAAAAAATGGGGGAATAAAAATGTACAAATTTAGAATGAATTAAAATTTAATTTGTTATCAACAAAAGACAATATTGCACATATAAGTTGTCTATAGTAGATACACAAAACATAAAGAAAAAGGAATATAAGCCTACCAGTATAGAAAATCATCAAATCATAAAGGACGAGACGAAGAAGCAAGAAACTAAGTATTACAAAAAAGCCATAAATCTAATCCGCAAAACTCCATACCTATCAATAACTACATTAAGTACAAATAGACTAAATTCTGCAACTCTGTACCATATAAAACACAGAATGATGAATGGATAAAAAAGAAACAAGACCCATCTTTATGCTAACTACAGAAGTGTCACTTCAGATGTAAGGATTAGCACAGTCTGAAAATGAAGGGATAAAAAAAAATGATATTCCATGCAAATGAAAACCAAAAGAAATCATGAGTTGTTATATTTATATCAGACAAAATAGACATTAAGAAAAGTCTGTAATCAGAGACAAAAGGATCAATACATAAAGGTGTTGATGCAATAAGAGACTATATATAACATTTCTAAATAGTCATCCAACCAACATAGGGACACCAAAGTAAAAAAGTAAATATTAACAAACTTAAAGGGTGAAATAGGCAAGACTAAAATAATAGTAGGAGACTTTAATACCTCACTTTCATCAATGTATGTCTGTCATCCAGACAGAAAATAAATAAGGAAACATCGACCTTAAATGACATGTTATAGCAGTTGTAATTAACAGACATATACAGAACATTCCATCCAAAAGAATCAAAATACACATTCTTCTCAAGTGCATATGGAACATTCTCCAGGATACATCATATGTTAGGCCACAAAACAAGTTTTAAAAAATTTAAGAGGACAGACCATATCAAACATCTTTTTGGACCACAATGGTATGAAACTAGAATTACAAGAAAAAAACTGGAAAACTCACAAGTTTGTATAGATTAAGCAATATGCTACTGTACAACCAACTGGTTAGAAAAATAACCAGAAGAAAAGTCAAAATGTATCTTGAGAAAAATAAAATAATGTGTGACTACATGAATCTAAAAAGCTTCTGCACAGAAAGGAAAACATCAATAAGATGAAAGGCAACCTACCAAGTGGGAGAAAATATTTGAAAATGATAAAACCATATATCTGATAAGGGGTTAATATCCAAAATATATAAATAACTTACACAACTCAATAGTGAAAAACAAAAACAAAAACATTGATCCGATTTAAAAAAGGGTAGAAGTTCTGAATACACTTTTTTTTTTTGCCCCCAAAGAAGACATCCATATGGCCAACAAGAAAATGAAAAGGTTTTTTTTTAAATCCTCAGCTGAGGATATTTTTATATTTATCTTCAGATAGAGTGGGAAATAGGGGGAGAGAGAGAAACACTGCCGAGAGAGGACACATTGACTGGTTGCCTCCCGCACAACCCCGGCCAGGGCTGTGGACGAACCACAACCAAGGTACGTGCCCTTGAGGGAATCGAACCCATGACTCATTGGTCCACAGGCCGACACTCTAACCGCTGAGCAAAACCAGTTGAAAATGAAGTTGTTTAACATAACTAATCATCAAAAGGTAATACAAATCAAAGCCACAGAGAGATATTACCACAAACCTGTTAGAATGATTACTACTAAAAAGGGAAGAAATAACAAGTATTTGTAAGGATGTGGAGAAAAGGGAACCCTTGTGAACTGTTATGGGGATATATGAAAATGAAGTTGTATAACATAACTAATCATCAAGGAAATACAAATCAAAGCCACAGAGAGATATTACCACAAACCTGTTAGAATGATTACTACTAAAAACGGAAGAAATAACAAGTATTTGCAAGGATGTGGAGAAAAGGGAACCCTTGTGAACTGTTATGGGGATATAAATTGATGTAATCACTACGGTAAACAGTAAGGAGGTTATTCAGAAAATTAAAAAATAGAACTACTATATATCTAGCAATTCCCTTTCTGGTAATTCTCTGAAGGAGACAGAGACATTAACTGGAAAAGACATCTGATACTCTTTGCATCATTATTTACAATAGCCAAGAAATAAAAACAATGTAGGGTCCATGAATGAATAAATGGATAAAGAAAATTCGGTTTATGTATACAATGGAATATTATTCAGCTATAAAAAATGAAGGAAGTCTTGTGATTTGTTACAACATGGATGTAGGACCTCGAGGGCACTACGTTAAGTAAAATAAATCTGTCTGAGAAAGACAAATATGGTACGATCTCACCTAAATGTATCCAAACACACATACAACCAACAATTCATATTTGCACTGAACATGGTTACCTGAGGTGGGGGTGGAGTAAAATGTATGAAGTTGGTAAAAGGTACAAACTTCCAGTCATATAATTAATAAGTCCTGGAATGTAAAGTACAACATGGTAACTATAGTTAATAATGCTGCATTGCATATGTGAAAGTTGCTAAGGGAATAGATCTTATAAATTCTTATCACAAGACAAAAAAATTGTTACTATGTATAGTGATGGATATTAACTAGACTTGATGTGATGATTGTTTCAAATATATTCATGTGCTCATTATTATACTGAAACAAATATGTCATATGTCAATTATATCTCAATAAAAATTAAAATATATAAAATACCTTTAGGTTATATTTATGAGCTTTATCCAAAATAGTTGGTACCAAGTCATCAGTAGGTACTCCATTCTCATCATGTGACTCAGGTGGGTACCAAGATAAGGCTAATACACCTAACAGAAAAAAACAAAAAGAAAAAACAAATGAACATAGAAACAGGAATGACTGCAGGTATTCATTAAAAAAAAAAAAAAAAAAAAGATGGAGAGAGGGCAGAATGAGATTAAAGTTTTACCAAAAAGTAATACCTTTACTTAACATTGTTTTGTTACATTAGTTAGATATTATCTATGGTTATTAGATTACTTTGTATAGTCAATTTTATGAACTTTTTTTTATCAGGCATCAGTAACTTTTAATTAATAGGTTTTTATTTTTTAGAACAAGTTTTACACAGAGAGTACAGAGTTCCCATGTATACAGGTACCCCTGTCTACCCAACCCTCTTCATCCCATATACCATTTTTTATTAGTATTCACATCTTGCATTAGTGTAGCACATTTGTTGCAACTGATGAACTAATACTGATACATCATTATTAACTAAAGTCCAGAGATTACATTAGGGTTCACACTGGAATTGTGTAGTTCTATGGCTTTTGATAAATGCATGTTATGTGTCCACTATTACAGTATCATATAGATTAGTTTTACTGCTCTCAAAACCCTGTCTTCCACCTATTTGTCCCTCTTCCCTTTCCCCCTCAATTCCCTAGACAATAACTGATCTTTTTACTATCTCTATAGTTTTGCATTTTCCAGAATGTTGTATAGGAGGAATCAAAAAGTAACATTATTCAGACTGGCTTCTCACACTTAGCAATGTGCATTTAAGGTTCATTTATGTGTTTTTAAGGCTTTATGGCTCATCCATTTTACTGATGCATAGTATCCCACTGTATGAATGGACCATACTTTGTTTATCCATTCACCCACTGAAGGACATCTTTGCTGCTTCCAGTTTGGGGGAATTATGAATAAAGGTGCTATAAACATTCATGTACAGATTTTGTGAAGAACAATATCTTTTTTTTTTTTTTATCCTCACCCAAGGATATTTTTCCATTTTTTGTATGGAGAGAGAGGAAGGGAGAGAGAGAGAGAAACATCGACGTGAAGGGACACATCGAGTGGCTGCCACCCGCACGACCAACCAGGGCCGGGGACAAACTGCAACCGAAGTACGTGCCCTTAGCGGGAACCGAACCCAGGTCTCTCCAGACCACAGGCCGACGCTCTAACCGCTGAGCCAAACCGGCCAGGGCAAGAACAATATCTTTTAACAAAAGATTCAAAACAGTTTAAAAAGTTAGTTTTTCCCTGTAGTATCTACCTAATTACTTTTAAACATATAAGTTAGAAAAAATAAAAATAAATCAAAGAACTTCTATGCATATATGCATAACCAACAGACACAAACAATAGTGTGGGGAAGGCAGGAGTGGAGTGGGATTGGGGAGGAGGGGTTAAATGGGAGCCAAAGAGGGGACATCTGTAATACATTCAACAATAAAGATAAGTTTTAAAAAATAGATTACAGATTACAAACTCCTAAGAGTAGGATTCAGGTCTGTATCTCTCTTATAGCACCAAGTTCATAATAAATACTCAATAAACAACAGCTAACAAAAGTTTAGAAATATAACCCTGCAAAGAAATCACTAACTGAAGAGGGAATATTTGAAATCAATGAATTCAAACCCTCATTATGTTACATAGATAAAGACATGAGAGGCCATTATAAAGATGGTACTAATTTCTAAATCAATCAACAAACTCTTTAAGGAGGAATAAAAATAAAATAGTACCAAAAGTGAAGCAAATGGAAACACACAATGGCAAGGATAGAAACTGGCAGAGAAATAAATTATAAGACAGACGTTGTAGTAGGCATGCCATGTGAAGAGCAGTCCCATCTATGGGAACAAAACAACACTATCATTAAAGAAAACATTAAAAAAAGACTATGTCCCTAACCTAATCAGAAAGTAAAAATGGTAACACCACCACAAGAAGTAGCAAAAGAAAGCTTCAATATACAGGGCTTCAAAGAAGCATTTGGCTGACCAGGAAGGCAGTCATATTTTTAAAAAAGTGTCTAGGGACAATTGGTCAACCATGCAAGCTGCCTACTAGACTATAGGAAGACCACCACCAATGAAAAAGAGTGACAATAAAAACTTTCTAAACATGAGATCTACCAAAAAATCCTGCAAAAGAAAGAAGAAAAACATGAGAAAAAGGAGGAACAAGTAAACGACGGATTATGCCATAAAGTTCAGGATAAAGTTCAGGATTATAAACACAGCATTCTTTCATGAAATTAAAAACAAGATTCCTCTTTCTAATAATAGATTAGATTACTTAGACCAGTGTTCCAAAAGAAAACAAATTACTAAATGAAACATGAAGAATAAAAAACTTCTTGCCCTGGCAGGTTTGGCTCAACGGTTAGAGCGTTGGCCTGCGGTCCAGAGAGACTCGGGTGCGGTTCCTGCTAAGGGCATGTACCTCGGTTGCAGTTTGGGTCATGTGGGTGGCAGCCACTCAATGTGTCCCTGTCATGTCAATGTTTCTCTCTCTCTCTTCCTCTCTCTCTCTCCCGCCCTGTCTGGAAAAAAAAAGGAAAAATGTCCTCGGGTGAGAATTAAAAACAAACAAACAAACAAAAAAACCCCCAAAACCTCTTAAAGTCAAAGAACTGAAGAGAGTAAGGAATTACTGTGTAATTTCAAATTGAAGTGTAAATGTGAAATTAGAGGAGTAAGGGAGCAAATAATTCAGTTTTCCCAGTTTACTTCTATAATTGGCAGAAGTAAACCAGCCCTTAAATCCAGTGAATTGACTCCCAGGTTGTCAATGCTTAGGAAGTCTTCTAGTTTTAAAGTGGCTAGTGTTTTCTACTGTGTTGGACAACACAGTTAGAGAACATTTTCATTATCAAAGAAAGTTCTAATGGACACCATTGCTGCACTATTCTGATTCTCCTAACACCATAACCAACTCATTCTTGTAGAGATTTTTCTTCCTCCCTATCCTCACTGAAGGTATACTGGAAGGCTTGCAGAGGGCGTTAGTTCTTTGTTCTTCCTTACCCTGTTACTGTGTTTCAGTTTCTTTAATGTATCCATCATCACTTCCACATGCCTAACAATATTCCATACTGTGCTCCACAGCCCAATTTTATCTTTGAACAGTAAGTCTTCATTTAACAGATAGGTTCTGCAACTTCAAGCAGGGCGACATATAATGAAACTAATTTTTCCACAGGCTAATTGATACAAATAAAAGTTGAGTTCCTGTTGCTACAGTAAGTAGGTAGTTATTAACAAAGGAAAGGAACAAATGGAATCAGACATTAAGCCTGATTAAGCTGTGGCTCCCAGACACTCTAGGGGATAGCCACATTTCCCTGCCAAGCAGATTAACATCCCTTCCTCCCCCAAGAAGGAAGGACCAATTTTCCAATTTCACTAGAGAACAACCAGCACCTTCCCATAGATTACCAAGGGAAGGGAGAACCACTCAAAGGGTAATTCCTCTGCTAAGGCATGTGCAGTAGAAGCCAGATGACAAAGCAAAATTATGAGATGTGCAGTAGGGGCCAAAATGGGACCTAAAGGGGAGAATAACAGCCTGGGAAAATCTGAGAAAAGGATCAGATAGGATAAGGGCATGGAATCCGGGAAGATCTAGGAAAGGGGTTGGATAAAGGGAGGGCCCAGCACAAACCCACAAAGAACAAGAAGATGATTGGTTAGTTTGAAAGAAAGCTTATCCCTTCCCAAGCACAAAGTAATATAACCAAAATTTAACAAATTAATGGGTCTGGTTCATTCATCTGTGCATTCTCTCTCCTTGTAGTAGTTGCCCAGGCTAAAGCACAGTGCTGATCAGGAGAGCAGCCAGGAGCAGAGACTATGCTGGACAGAGCCCAGGGTGATGGCATTCCAGTCCTGGTTCCTGACCCTCCTGATGGGCACTTGTGATCACCAGGCCCCAATTTCCATAGTGAGACAGAGCTGAGCCACCTGGTCTTGGATGAGACATCAGGCACCTGGAGCAAGTCCTTTGTTTCTGCTCCAATAAATCTTGCCACGATTGCTCACATCCTCCTATGCCTGAGTTCAAGATGCTTTTCTTGCAGCTCCATGGAAGAATCCTTTTTCCACTGACAACACTATGGTATATCATCAATGTTATAATGAAAAAATGTTGAAGAAAACAACATTATTTAAGGATCTGCTGTATAGTAGGGAAGACTGTGTCACTCATGAGCTCTACATAAGTAATATCCTGGGAACCAAACCAATAATGGTTGTAACTGGAAGAGGGTTGGGCCATTTACAATGGTAATGAATTCTTCACAGTAACCAGAAAGTTTCCTCTAAAATACATCAACCTAGTGTAATTTATAAGTAGTACCTATTACTACGTATTTCTACCATTTCAATTGCTTAATGAAAAGTGATACTCTTTAAAATCCATTCTTAGAATATTAGTATATATTAAATGCAGATCATGTCATATTGATGGTGTCATCCCTTTAAAGAACTTATTACAGGTCATTCAATATAACTGGTAGTTTTTTTACCATTTAATTAAATAATGCATTGAAACAGAGTAACAGTTAAGAACACCAGATATAAAATTAGACAGACCCGGAGAATCAAACACTAGTTATGTCATTTGATAGGTGCTTATCTTTACATAAGTAATTTTACTTCAGTTTTCACATGTGTAAAATGGGGGTAAATTCAGTTCATAATTAAAAGTCTGTTTTTGAAAAATATAAATGAGCTGTGGCTGGTGTTGCTCAGTGGTTGGAGCATTGTCCTGCACACCGAAACATCATGGTTCGATTCCCGGTCAGAGTACATGCCCAGGTTGTGGGCCCAATCCCCAGTGCGGGGCATGCGGGAGGCAGCCAATCGATGTTCTCTCTCATTGATGTTTCTATCTCTCTCTCTCCCTTCCTCTCTCTCTAAAATCAGTAAGAAAAGAAAAAAAGAATATACATATACAGTTTAATTTGGAGTTTATAAGTTTACATGTATAATTAATAATGTAATAATTTAATGTTCTATAAAGTTATACATTTTACACACACACACATGAATAAAATAAAATAATTACCAATTGAAGCTGAGTATATTTGTTTCATGTGAGTTTCGATGAGAGAAGGATCCCGAGAGCTGTAAGTTCCCAATTCAGGGTAAAAACTGGAGCCAATATCATCTGGGGGGCTGTGTTTCCCTTGGGGATGATTACTGTTTATTCTAGGGTCCCAATGCTTCAGAGTTGAATGGTTCCAATGTATGTATTTTCCATCAAATTGTGGGTTTCCATACCAACTGTAATAAAATACGTGTAAATAATAATTCAGAGGTGGCACTTCTTCCAGGTAAGGTTCAGAGGCTTTGGGAGGTTTCACAGTGAATTCAACACTTTTTAAATTCTTGATATTTGTTTCACTGTTGATTTTGTCACTCTTTGGGGAATCAAAAACTTTCCCCAAGCGAGGAATTTGTTGATGAACTTCTGGAAGAAAGTCAAATCCAAAGGGAGCTCCAAAAGTACCTTTATTTGGTCTCAGCATTTTTAAACCCATCATCATAGAAAAAATAAATAAGATAAAAAGTGAAAAAATGATGCAAGTCTTTCTTCGAAACTTTGCCATGATGACATACTTTAAACTCCAAAATGATAAATGTTTAGCTGCAATTTATTGAAAAACAGTAATTAGCAAAGTGGTAATAATGATATGTTCCAATGTATTAAAAATGAAAACAAGTCCACAAAATTCATTACACTGAAAAGCTTTTAACAGTGCATTAGGATATTAATTATATAAAATATTGATATCTACAACAGAATCTATATATGGCTAGACAAAATGGTGTATTTATTTGGAAATACCACAATTACATTTTGTCAGATAAACATTTTGGAAATATTATTTAACAAAACAAGTAGCCCGGCTGGTGTGGCTCAGTGGTTGAGCATCAACCCATGTACCAAGAGGTTGCCAGTTTGATTCCCAGTCAGGGCACATGCCCACCCAGGCTGTGGGCCAGTTCCCCAGTGGGGGGCATGCAGGAGGAGGCCTATCAATGTTCTCGCTCATCGATGTTCTATCTCTCTCTCCCTCTCCCTCTAAAATCAATAAAGAAAAAGAGAATTTAAAAAACTACATTTTTCATCAATTAGAGAAATTTTACATACATTAAATATAAAGAAAACATTCTGAGATTCCAAAATGGTGGCAGAGTGAATGGAAGCTACACAGACCATCTCCCAGGACCAAACTGGAATTACAACTAAAATAAAGACAAATCGTTGGGAAAAAGCAACACAAAAGCAGCTTGCAAAGACCATATAATCAGAGACACTGACTCAATCCTGCTAGGATTGCAGAGGCACAAGAGGGGGGCTGGGAGTCCACAGACAGCAGCAGTCTTAGCTGTGAGCAGTGCCCTCTGGGTTAAACTCCCAAGCAGCTCCAGAATGCAGAGCCGGGACAGACGCTAAAATAGCCACAGCCACTAACCTTGGGCTCTGGCAGAGGGAGGGTGGACTGGACTTGAACTGTGTGGGGACACTCGGGATTTGGAGGGCTCTCAGAGCTTTTGCTGAGTTGTGGCCACACAGGGCTGTGGCCATCTTACTCCTTCCCAGGGCTCTGGGGAGAGGCAGTGGGCCCTCCCTCAGAGATTCAACCTCACCCTGTGGGCCACTGAAATGCAAACTGAGGCTCATTAACAACCAGCATCTGCCCCACCCTGGGGAAATCCCCTTACACTGAGCACCTGAGGGAGTTTTTCAGTCAACTGAGAAACAAAGACTCTTCAAGTAACCACAACTAATAGCCTCCAGGCAAAAAGCTAGAGGATAACTGAACCTTTCCTGGGTTTGCAACTCCACCCAGGAAAATAAGACTTGACAGTGGTGTTTAACATGGGTCCTCCCTCGCTCATCCAAACCCAGTAGAGGGAGTGACAAACAGCACAACATCAATACACACAGGCAAAATTTGGCAGGCTCCAAAACCCACTGAGACAGCCAAAATGATGAAATAAAGAAACAAATCCCAAATGAAAGATGAGATAAATGTGGAGCAGTTAAGCAAGTTAACCAGAACTAGAATTCAGAGCCATGATCTTGAGGAAGCTCAACAGCATGTGTAAGGACATGAGTAAAGACACAGAAACATTAAAAATCAACCAATTGGAAATTAAAAACCACCAAGAAGAAATGAAGAATGACATAGTAGAAATAAAGAACACATTGGAAAGACTAAACAGCAGAGTAGAGGAAGCTGAGGACCAGATCAGTGTATTAAAAGACAGGGTAGAAAAAAATCAACCAATCAGAAAACCAAAAGGAAAAAACAGTTAAGAAACAGGAAGACAACTTAAGAGAACGGTGGGACAACTGGAAACATAATAATATTCGCATCACAGGAGTCCCCAAAGAAGAAAATGAGCAAGGCTTAGAGAATATATCTGAAGAAATAATGACAGAAAAGTTCCCTAATTTGGTGAAGGAAGAAGGCATTCGAGTTCAAGAAGCACAGAGAGCCCCAAGTAAGAAGAACCCAAACAGGCCCACAACAACACACATAGTAATTAAAATGCCAAAAATTAAAGACAAAAAGAGAATTCTAAAGGCAGCAAGACATAAGAAACAGGTTACCTACAAAGGAACGCCCATAAAGCTATCAGCTGAATTCTCAACAGAAACACTACAGGCCAGAAGGGAATAACATGAGGTAATCAAGGTCATGAAAAACAAGGATCTGAATCCAAGACTACTCTACCCAGCACGGCTATCATTCAAAATAGAAGGTCAAAAAAAGAGTTTCCCAGACTAAAAAAGGCTAAGGAAATACAAGTAGCACCAAACCAGCACTGCAAGAAATTTTAAAAAGACTGCTGTAAGTAGTAGAAGAAATGGGAAGAAAAACAGAACCACACGAAACAAAAAATGGCAATAAATAAGTACAAATCAATAATCACCTTAAATGTAAATGGACTGAATGCCCCAATAAAAAGACACAGAGTAGCTGATTGGATAAGAAAGCATGACTCATATATATGTTGTTTACAAGAGACCCGCCTTACAACAAAAGATTCACATAGGTTGAAAGTGAAGGGATGGAAAAAAAATCTTTCAAGCAAACGGGAAGGAATAAAAAGCTGGGGTAGCAATACTCATATCTGATAAAGTAGATTTCAAAATGAAGGCCATAACTAGAGACAAAGAAGGCCACTACATAATATTGAAAGGATCTATCCAACAGGAAGATATAACCTTGGTAAATATATAGGCACCCAATTAAGGAGCACCGACATATATTAAAAATCTTTTGGAGGACTTCAAAAGAGAAATCAACAGCAATACAATCATAGCAGGGGACTTCAATACTCAGCTGACATCACTGGATAGATCATCTAGAAAAAAAATAAATAACAAGGAAACACAGACTCTAAATGATGTGCTAGATCAAATGGATTTAATAGATATCTACAGAGAATTATACCCCAAAACCGCAGATTTCACATTCTTCTCAAGTGCACATGGGACATTCTCAAAGATAGACCACATGTTAGGGCACAAACCAAGTCTCTACAAGTTCATGAAGAATGAAATCATATCAGGCATCTTCTTATATCACAATGGCATGAAACTAGAAATCACTTGCAACAAGAACGTGCAAAGACATTTGAACACATGGAGGCTAAATAGCATGTTATTGAACAATGAATGAGTTACCATGTATATCAAGGAAGAAATTAACAACTTCCTGCAAACCAATGGAAATGAACACACAATAACACAAAATCTATGGGATGCAGCAAAAGCAGTTCTGTGAGGGAAGTTCATAGCAATACAGGCCTACCTCAAGAAGCAAGAAAAATTTCTAATAGATTATCTAACCTCACAACTTAAAGAACGAGAAAGCAAACAAAAAGAAAACCCCAGAGCAAGTAGAAGGAAGGAAGTAGTAAAGATGGGAGCAGAAATAAATGACATGGAGACCAACAAAAAAACAATTCAAAGGATCAATGAAACAAAGAGCTGGTTCTTTGAAAAGATAATGGACCGTTACAAGATTAATGGACTGTTAGCTAGATTCACCAAGAAACAAAGAGAGAGAATCCAAATACACAAAATTAGAAATGAAAGAGGAGAAAGAATAACTGACACCACAGAAATACAAAGGATTGTTAACAGATATTATGAACAATTATACGGCAACAAATTTGACAAACTAAGTGAAATGGACAAATTTCTAGAAACACATAGTCTCCCAAAACTGAACTGGGAAGAGATAGAAAAATTGAACAGACCAATAACAACAAGAGAAATTGAAGATGTAATCAAGACTCTCCCAGCAAACAAAAAACCAGGCCCAGATGGCTTCATGGGGGAATTTTACCAAACATTCAAAGACGAACTAATACCCATTCTCCTAAAACTATTTCAAAAAAGTCAAGAAGAAGGAAGACGTCCAAACTCGTTTTATGAGGCCAGCATAATTCTAATTCCAAAACCAGAAAAAGACACTACAAAGAAACAAAACTACAGACAATATCCCTGATGAACATAGATGCCAAAATTTTGAACAAAATACCAGCAAATCGAATCAGCAATACATCAAAAAATTCATTCACCATGACCAGTGGGATTCATATCAGAAATACAAGGCTGGTACAATATTCTCAAATCAATAAATGTGATACACCACATAAATAAAATGAAAGATAAAAATCATATGATCATATCAATAGACGCTGAAAAAGCATTCGACAAAATCCAGCACCCATTTCTGATAAAAATGCTCAGCAATCTGGGAATAGAGGGATCATATCTCAACATAATAAAGGCCATATATTAAAAACCTATAGCCAACATAATACTGAATGGGCAAAAATTAAAAGCATTTCCCTTAAGAACAGGAACAAGACAAGGATGCCCACTTTTGCCACTCCTATTTAACATAGTACTGGAAGTCTTAGCCACAGCAATCAGACAGGAAGAAAAAATAAAAGGGATCCAAATTAGAAAGGAGGACGTGAAACTGTCATTATTCGCAGATGACATGATACTATACATAGAAAACCCCAAAGACTCCATCAAAAATCTACTAGACTTAATAAATGAATTTGGCAAAGTACCAGGATACAAAATTAACATCAAGAAATTGATGGCATTCTTAGACACCAATGATGAACTCACAGAAAGAGAAACTAAAAAAACAATCTCATTTACCATTGCGGGAAAAAAAAGTAAGATACCTAGGAATAAACTTAATGAAAGAAATAAAGGACCTATTCACAGAAAACTACAGGTCATTGAAAAAAGAAATAGAGGAAGATATAAAAAAGTGGAAGCACATACCTTGATCATGGATTGGAAGAATTAACATCATTAAAAGGTTCATATTACCCAAAGCAATCTATAGATTCAATGCAATCCCCATCAAAATACCAATGGCACACTTGACAGAACTAGAACAAATATTTCAAAAGTTCACATGGAACCAAAAAAGACCTCGAACAGCCACAGCAATCTTGAAAAAGAAGGACAAAGTTGGAGGGATCACATTACCAGCTTTCAGGTTATACTACAAAGCCACTGTAATCAAAGCAGCCTGGTACTGGCACAAAAACAGGCATATAGACCAGTGGAATAGAACAGAGAACCCAGAAATGGACCC